GTGGCTCTTGGTTGAAAACTGTGGATACACGTGGGACTTGACAATGCATTAAGAAAAACAGCACTCAGTCCACCAATCAACAATTAGACTAACGCCTGAATTAGACGCATTCAGAAAAAAAAAAAGGCCGACTTGATTAAAACTTGACAAATCGATGACAAAACTGGCTAGTGAATGAGTAGACAATAGGTCTTTCGCCCCAAGAGAAATTGAAAACAATGCTAATGCAAAATTTTGGAGGGACAACAAAGAGTATTATGGTATTTTTGTAAAAGGCCTATAGCCGTGTGAATTACCAAAAGCTGGCCCTGAATAAAATAATTTAAAAGTACCAGGAAAGAAACACACAAACTTTTAAAACTTCTCAATAGACAATAAAAGCGAAGAAAGTGGAGGAAAACTAGTGTTAAAGAATTGCTAGCACAGGAACCATTTTGACCCCTAACATTTCATTACTCAGTGATGTTGATCACCACCATCAGTTTGACAAAACTAATGAATATGCGACGACTACAATAGCCTGTTTTGCACCCGCTCGTCACGACTAAAGTTAAAAGTGCGAAAAAGCGAGAATACAAACTTTCAAAACTTTTAGGAACACAAAAATCATCATTCATTCCAAAAGCGCAGCAAAATGAGGAAAACTTTTGATTAAAATTGCCAGTTAAAAAAATCACTGTTATCACACTGACACATAAAAAGTTCACGTTCAACGAAAATGCCGCGAAAAACACAATATTGAGGAGGTCATTGATCATAGCATGGGCCGGGGTTATTTTTTACTGGGTTCTGTGATCACATGCATCAGGACCAGTTAGCGAATATTCACATGACGTCACGGCGGCCATATTGGTGATCCAAACAAATCCTGTGGGAGATAGACTCTTTTCTTCCGGTTTACGTGCGTGCCTCAAAATGGTCGCCGCTTTCAAGTCATCTATCAACTACGGTGGCCCATACAGGACATCAACAATTTTTTTTTCCGATTGAAATTTTTATCTCATTTGTTTGTTACGAAATTGGTATTGTGTAATCATTTAATACTACTACTGAGATTTTTGCTTTAGAAATCCGAGTTGTCTAATTCCAAAATACACAAGTCATATTTTTATCGAGTTGCTTAATCTCCAAAATACACAATTCGGATTTATAACGCAAAAATTCGGGTTGTTTATTTGAAACTTCGACAACTCGGATTTTTGCGCTAGAAATCTGAGTTGTTTATTTCGAAAATTAGACAACTCGGATTGTGGTAAAAATCCGTGTTGTTCAATTGAAAAATTAGTAAATAGGATTTTTGCGACTTTTAAGTCCGAGTTCGTGTATTTTAGAGACTAAACAACTCGGATTTTTGCGGTAAAAATCCGAGTTGTTGATTTGTCAATTAAACAACTCGGATTTTTGCGTTACAAATCTCAGTTGTGTATTTCAGAGATTAAACAACTCAGATTATTGCGGTAAAAATTCGAGTTGTTTAATTGAAAAATTAACAATTCGGATTTTTGCGTTAGAAATCCGGGTTGTGTACTTTAGAGATTGCACAACTTGGATTTCTGCGATCAAAATCCGAGTTGTGTAATTGTAATTTTTTAATAACTCGGATTTTTGCAGAAAAAAATCCGTTGTTTATTTGAAAAGACTTAACAAGTCACATTTTGTGACAAATATTAAGATGAAAATTTCAATCGAAAAAAGAAATATTGTTGATGTCCTATGGGGTAATCAACAATCCTTGTTCCAAAAAAATGGGAAGTACTGTGCAACGCACCATCCACGGAGAACCCTTGGAAGCTGTTGATCAACACAAATACGGCCTTGGAATTGAGATATCCAGTGATCTAAATTGCAGGAATTATAGGCAAAGCCAACAGATCTTTTGGCTTTATAAGAAAAAACTTAAGTAAATGTCCAAAAAACGTAAAACAGCAAGCCTATCTTGCTATAGTTAGACCACAGCTTGAATATATGGATGTTGCGCATGGGATCAGCACAGATAAAGGACACTGAGAGTGCGCAGAGACGAACGGCGCGTTTTGTTAAAAATGAATATGGCACAACTCCTGGAACTATTACGAAATTTTGAATGATTTGAAATGGCCAACACCCGAGAAGTTTCTTAAGGTTTATCATTTGCAAACCGTTAAGCGTTACGCTAAAAAAGGAACAAATATGTAAATCATTATACTTTACAGGTGTTTTCAATACATTAGATTCTCAGTATTTTCTTACGAGAACCAAAATATAATAATGGGTCGAGTCATCTATATTCACCCATGCGCAAATAACCCCTAAATGATTTTTGAAATTTCTTAACGGCATCGTAGTTTCGAGCTAGTCTCTCCTGAACGATCATAGATCACTTGTGTTTAACGATACCTGATGAAAGTTACTGCTGCTAAAACTGTTCCTTCTATTGCAACGTGTTATAACATTATAACTGTATACCAAAAACACAGTGAAGAAATTCCGGCAACTCGAGAATCAATATGGAAGTGGAACTGATTTGAAAGTGTAAGTGCTGCAGCTATATCTCTTGCCTTTCTCTTGTCTGAACGAATTGCCAAAGAGCTGCCAAGTGCACACTATTTAGACTCTGCACTTCTTTCTCAACTGAAAACTTTCAGAGCGTTTTATTTTAATCGGCAGTGGTATGTTTTTCCTTTTTATTTTCCCTCAGTTTTGAGAAGTAAAATTCAGTGCATGGTTGATGGGGAACGTAACGAAGGGAGTTATTAGCTCTTGGTAGAAAAACAGCAAGAGATTTGTAGAGGTAACTATCCAAGTAAAAAGTCACCTTAACCAGGACAATCATAAACTGACAGAAGGATAAAAAATGGTTTTAATATGGTGATAGAAAACTTGTCAGTTTTTTTGTAGGATACCTGAGGTTACTATAACTTAGTTATGTTAGACCCGGTAACGAGTTGAAGTATGATTGATTTTGTCTGGACAATATTTGCTCCTGAGCGAGTTTACATTAGGCAATATATATTTATTAGTTTTATGAGCGTTATCCCAATGAGCAAATAGACTGCTTTATAAAGTTGTTATCACCTATATATTTACTTCAATGTTTTTTTTAAAGTTACACACATAAGAGCAAAATGGGACATGGGTGTTAGAGAATAAATTAAGGGCAGAAATTATGTTGTGACAAGTTCTCTTCTAAGTCTGCAACCATTTGCTAAAATGAAAATCATTTCCTTTACGTTTACTGACGAGAGTCGTCCAAATTTGTATTTACCTTTGTACTGTTTGGTTCAGTATCATCCCTGCAAATAAATTCTTTCCTTTTCAAAGTGCATGTCTCGACCAAATAAAGTATTCAAGAGGGAACTCAGGCCCGCGGACAGAATTTTTAAGATACTTGGATTTTCTCCCGGGGAATATTCCCTTAAATACACTGTAAGCCACATAGGTATGTGTCAACCTAAGGATATGGCTTTTGCGCTTTTTCGGTCTAAAAACGGGTATACACTTTGCTCATTTTGGTTTGGAATTGGGTATAGTATTCGAGGGAAAAAATGCCGTGTACTAGCTAAGGAAACACGGCTTGTGGTAGATAGTCACTGATTTCAAAAACCTATCACGATAAAATTTTGACTGCCAGATAAAGAGTATTTCAAACAAATCGTATCCGACTTCTTCTTTAAAGAGTTCTTTGTTATGCTTTAACTATTGTTTTTGTCTTGTTCACTCATGTAGGTGAACAATCTAACAGAAGTACAGTTATTAATTGTTAATTGCGGACCCAACTAAACCGGGTGATTTTTAAGACGGTAAGTACTTGTAACAACCCCAATCCCGATCTTTTGTTAGTGACCTTTATGAACTGACTACTCAGGATCTCAGACTACAGACTTGGCAAAATGGCTCTTTTGGCAACTCTTTTCTTCTTTACTTTTTACGCAGTCATCCAGGCGAACTCAAAATCAGTCAAAATCGTTGAAAATACCTCTTTTGAGGCAAAAAGACAACAATATACATTAGGTAAGGTAGTACACTGTTTATTTAACATTAATCTATATACATGGTTAGCGAAATATTGCTACTGTAAAGATAAACAGATAAACAAACTCATTTACCAACAAGGAGATTGTGTGGGATCCCTGTGGTAATCCTCGTGCCAGGGTCCACTGGTGTCCCGGCCAATATGGCGGCGTGGGGCTAGTTTATTAGTGGCTTGTCTGGATCTGAGTCGTCAGTGTACCAACGCAAACCTAATTTAAGCTTAATAGTACCTACAACAATTTCAAGAAACGACTCTGCAATATAAAAACCAAAATACCAGAGAAGTCAATAGAATTAAAAGGTCAGGACATTGCAAATTATAAAGTAATTCTCATTATGGAGTAGATGGCTAGGATGTAAAAGTAGGTGGTGATTTCAGGCTTTCACTTTCGCACCTTCCTGTCTTTCCCCAAAAAGTAGGCGGCTCAAAACTCGAAGTAGCCAGTTTTTAGCCGGCTACCTACTTTTAAATCTCTAGAAATGCATTCTAAGCGGGGCTATAAAATTTGTATCTGTTCGGTCATCCTAGGGGAACCCCGGGTTATTAGGCATGCGTTGCATGTATGTAGCCAGCTTTCGTTTGGACTTCCACTAAGAATGAATGGAATGGATCACGCGCGTTTTGACCTTCAAACACTCGTAATCTAATCACGCGTGTTTTGACCATCCGTGACGTGAAACTTCCGCAAAGCACAACAAAGCACAGCGTTGGAGCAAAAGCGTTTTGACCTTCGATCGTTGTTTCTAGCATTTCGTAACCTCTGGTTATTACTAGTTCTAAAAACAGCGTGTCTTTGACGGAATTAACATCACCAACTACATGCGAACACTGTACTACACATACCTTGGCGACACTAGACTGCAAAACAGTCCGTATTTTTGCGTATTCAAGTACACGCGAGGATTCAAACAAAAGGTCTGGAACGAGCCCGTAGGGCGTGTTAGGCTCGCGCGCTTGGAGCGCGTAAGACTCTTACGCCACGCTTTACCGATTCCTTTACTAATTTTGAGAAAAAAACCGACTGTTTTGCAGTCTATGGCGACACCGCAACGTATAACATCAAACAGAGTATAGGTTTACTGTCGGCACAGAAATAAACAACATTTTTACCTCGAAACATGCTATAACCTAAGAAGATTTCGTAAATACAGTCCACCAAAGGACTAGTCTATTCTCCCCGTTATCGTAAATAGTGACACTATAAAAACAAACTCTAACATGGAAGTGTTGATGTTTTTAATTAATAAACAATAATTGTTCTTACAAGAAACATCTGCTAGGAAAAAGGCACCGAACATCTCCAATGAAAATTTGGTGTGTTGTGCAGAGGACATATTTTAACCCCTTAAACACGTCATTGCACTGTAAATCGCAACAATTTAGGTATAAAGAAGCTAACATGATCACAGTCACTGGTTCTTTGGTGATTAACCGGGCTGAGTGACCTTTCTCCTCTTCTTGTTTTCTCGTCTGATAGTTGTATCTTACAGTCATTACTGTTTGAAAACGTTGCCGAAGGGGGGAGGGGGAGGGGGGATTACTCCCATATAAAAGACACAGGGATGCTTT